CTTCCGAATAGTCCCGGCAAAGAAAGAATCTTTGCTGCCTCTGGATTTGCAACTAATCACACAATAAACCAAGGAACATCATATGGAAATATTGAGAGTTAGGGCATTGAGCGAGTCCACAAAGCATTGTGGGAAAAAACACACACACACAAAACTCCTAGGGTTGACTATCGACGTGGTTCTGAAAATGTGGCGTAACTACGAAACTAATTTAAGAATGATACAGAATGTGCTCCTTAGTTCAGACAGTTTGTTTGCTGTGTTGATGTTATGCTTGAGTCCAACTACAGGACTGTTAGGGAAATCTCTACAACTTGTTCAGGAAGTTAGCCAGGGTGCGGAAGCCTTCCCTGGGGCATTTTAACATGCCGTTCCATCACAGGTTTCAAGTTTTGGTTTTCACCCAATGTCTTAACATAATTATCAGTACTTCCCCTTTTATTATCAAGAATCCCAGTGTGGAAGATAAATTATATGTCACTCTAGCACTGAACAACCAAACAAGAGCTTGTCTAGGTGGTGACTTTTCTAAGGCTTTGCCATCTGTTGGACGCCAGTCCACTTTTCCTGATCCAGGCTCTGTCCTCTCCTCTGTGACAGAATAAATAGCTCCACCTATACACTCTCATGGCAATGGGTACTTCCCTTCGGTCGCTTTTTTCCTTCTAGGCATTGGGCTTCCTCACTGAGGACCACACTGCATTCAGGGTTCCTCCTTGCACAAGCCCTGGTCATAGTAGGTGCTTAGCAAGAGGTGGTGGAGTGAATTATTTTGGAAAAACATGTTCCCCAAGGGGTTTTTGTTTTGCTTTATTTTATTTGCAGTCATCAAAAAATAAATAAATAAAGGCTTCATAACTTTATTTAACTTAAGTCTTTATACCTGAACACTGAAATGTAGATATGATATGTAAGTCTTAGAAAGGGAAATGAAGTAATGTTTAGAAAAATGACAAGAAGTGCCCAAACACGATTTTTGATTGTTGTGAAATGTTAAGGCTGTATCAAGCCTCTTTGACTATCCTTTAAATTTGAATAGAGACTTCCTTTGCACTAAATAGAATCAGAACTTTTCTTTCTACTCTTCTGTATTCTTCCTTAAAAATTATGTATTACTTTTTTTGAACAAGTATCTTTTTTTTTCTTTAGTAAGTATGACATATTAACTAGAAAAGTTTTTATTAGAAAAGATACAAATGCTGAAACAAAAAATATCATTTCCTAAAGCCTTGAGAGATCATTTAAATAAACCCTTTTATTTTGGGGGGTGGGGGCGGCATATGAAATCTAAGAAACTAACAGAGGCCCAAAGAATTTAAATGATCGAACAGAAGCCTCAGAGCTAGTAAGAGGCCAAGTTCATTTGGACCTCGTTCTCTGAATCCATGTCTCTTGATCCTTGCACATCAACCCTCTAATTTTTTGGACTGACAAAGAGCTCTGGAGCAGGCACACTCTTATCTCATCAGACCTAGTGTTCAAATATGAACTCCATGCCTCAACTAGGCTTATGTGGATGAAGTTAATCTATACAGCCCCAAATTCAAAGGAGTCAAGGAGAAAAATTGTACATAAATTAGGGTTTGCAGCAATGGGCGTTGGAGTTAGGCAAACTGGGGTTCAGATCCTGATTTCCTACTTACTTGCTGAGTGACATTGGTCAGGTTACTTAACCTCTCTGAGGCTTAGTTTGCTTATCTTTAAAATGGGAATAACAGTATTTTTCTTGTAGGGTTTGGTGAGGTTTAAAAGAAATAGCATTTCCTAATACTCACCAGTTTCTGGAATCAGTAAACATTCAATAAATTATAGGCATTATTATAATTATATTCATATTTAACATTATATATTATAAAATGTCCTTAAATTATGTATTATCATTATTATTTTTATTACTCTACTACCGAGACTTGCACTGAAGGAGAGCTTATCAATTTCAAATAGAAACTATGCAGGCAGATCTTTCTGCCCTAATACTTGGATGCTAGTCCCACAAGCAGTTTGATCTAAGAAATCTGCCTCTGCGGAGGTGGTGGTTGAAATCGGAATTGTGTGTAGAAGGGCCTGTGTGACTGGTTCCCCTGGTATCAGACATTTTCTTACGTCCCTAAATTTTTTGATATTGTTTTTTTGTTTGTTTGTTTGTTTGTTTTGCTTGGGCTTTGTAAAACTTCCTGCTGGGTAGTTTTAGTCGTCCTTCCTACTAGTTTGCAAGAGTCCATTATAATGATTATAAAGCTGGAGGTCATATATAAAAGTACTGATAGGTCAGAAAAAGGCAAAAAGAAGGAAGCTAGGTCCTCATGTTCATTCACTTTAAATATCTGTTAATAGTTCTTTTATAATTTTTCATGGTTATTTTCTTTTCTCTTTTTTTACCCCCCTCCCCACTTCCACAGACATCTATTTACCAATGAACATAGAAGCAACCTTGATACCAAAGAAATCCATTCATTCAAGTATTCACCAACTCATTTGATATATATTATTTTATTAAATACCTTCATTCTGAGCATAGACATTCAGATTTCATAAGCTGTTTATGGAATATGAACAGACCTCAGTTCAAACCTCAGCTTCTCTATATCCTATAGATTTGATCTTGGGCAGATTAGCAACCTACCCCTCTGAACAAGCTCCTTCTCTCAAGCTCCCTGTCTCAGCCCTGACACCATCACCATCTTCCTGTTCCAGTTCAGAATGTGGGAATTATTTTATTCTCATTAACCATCATCTCTATCATCTCCAACAGTTATTTATTGTCTCATGCTGTCTGCTGGGCACAAGGAGACCTGCCCCCAAGGAGTATACCTGATGGTCAGGTACGCCCATAAACACACAGTGAATGTGTGTAATGATAATAAAAGCCCACGCCTATTGTACACTTAATTATTGCTAGGCACTATTCCAAGAGCTTTATATGCATTCAATTTTTTAAATTATGTCAATAACCCTAAGAGATAGGTACTATTATATTTTTTAGTTGATAGGTGAGGAAACTGAAGCAACAGTGATTAAACACCATGTCCAAGGTCACACAGCTCGTTAGCAGTGGAGACAGAATGCAACAGCTTTGAAAGTCGCCTTCAAAACCATTGCTATTAACCTTCCATGAACTCTTCTCTGCCTGCGGGCATGATGGCAAAGCTTCAGGGTACCAGAGGAGGAGCTTCTAACCAGACTGAGCCCTAAAATGTGGGTAGGGGGTAGCCAGAGCGATCCTCCCATCCCCCTTCTACCCCCAGTGTAGGCTCTCACGTGGACCAATCCTTCATTGGTCCCACTCCCTGCTAGTCCATTCTTCCCACTGTGCCACAGTGATCTTTCTAATCAAGCCTGATCACATTACTGCTTTTGTACTTGTGTTCATAAACTACAGGAGAAAGTCTGCACTCCTAGCTCTCAGATTTGCTCCCAGCCCTTTCATGAACATCTTTTTGGTCCTCTGAGGGCAACATGCTCACTTCTGCCTCGGTCAGTGTCAAATCTGACTCCTTCAGCTCCTCTGGACCCTTCTACACTCAGCTCCTTTCAGGTATGCCTTTCTGGATCCCACAGACAGAGTGAAGTCACACCCCAAATACTCTTAGCTTTTTCCACTGAATTGGAGAAGTTGACTTTTGAATCTGTCTCCTTCATTACACAGTGAGCCCCTTGAGGAGTATTTCCCAGCTCCTAACAGGGCCTGACACTTAGTGAACACTTAGAATGAATGAATGAATGAATGAATGAGTAACTAAATGAATGAGTATTGAGAAGGACAAATTTTATGTTTTTTGTTTGTTTGTTTGTTTGTTTTTTTTATCTGTTGCAGCTCAAAGTACAGTGCTGAGGACATGGACATATTGATTCTCCTCTCACACGTCAATGGGGTACAGTCAGAACTATGAAAGGGTAAATGCCACCCATGTAGTCAGAAACAGATCACGAGAAAAGCCCTGGACAAGTGGTTAGGAGATCTGGGATTGTTGTCTAGGCCCTATCACCAGTTAGCTGTGTGACCTTTGATAAGATATTCATGTCTCTGAGCCGCCACTTCCTCAGCTATAATACTGCTGTGAAAAGTTCAAGTGAGCATGGGTGCCGAAGAACTTTGTCACATGCTGGACAGGCTAGTGGCATCAGTGGCATGATTTCTCCAGCTGCTCTGCAAGTATTAGTCCAAGTTGGGTTACTCAGCGCTACTGCAGGCCATGGGGCAAGCCTTTCCACCCTTTCTCCTCTTCTTGGCCTCAGTCCAGGAAGATTTCCATCTGTACCTTGTCTGCAAGCCAGACTCTGAACCTAGAGTTTGGAAAAACAGGCAAATTATTTTCGTCCAGGTGTATCCTGTCTATATACTGAGCTGTAAGGCCAAATTTGTTCTCAGAATAAAGTGAGTGAGCGTGTGTGTGTGTGTGTGTGCGTGCGCGCGTGTGCTTGCATTAGGAGGACAGAGTTCAGGATAGTAAAGGTAACTGTAAAGTAGTGGTAAGAGCTCTGAACTTGGCATAAGAGTATTTTGGACTTAATTCTACCACTGCCACGTGTTCTGGGTGGCAGGTTATCATAACTTCTTGGGGGGCTCCCTTCATCATCTCTAATATGAGCGATGTATTTGCCACAGGTTCATTGTAAAGATTAAATGAAATACAAAATGTAAGGCAGCTAGCATAGTATCTGGTGTGTGTATATACTGCATAGATGTTTGCTTGTTGATTTTTATTGACTGAAATTGGTTTCTTGAGAAAAGGAAGAAAAAGATGACAAGCATACTAATGATGTCATTGCTTAGAGTAATGAACTAATTGATACTTTCCAAAAAGTAGGGCAAACTAAAGGTGTAATACAGAGATATAATCGAAATGGTAACAGCTAGGGCAGAAATACAAACCACCCCAAATAGCAGGAAAACTAGACACAAAAATAACAAACCCGTTTATACAGTGAGTAATATAAATACATTAAAATAAATAAATGAATGGAGAGTAAAAGGTAACTAGCTTAACTTCTGATTCCAGCCAAGACGGATAAGAGGCCTGGATTTACTCTCCCACCTGAAACAACCAAAAAGACCTGACAATATATCAAACAGTGGTTCTCAGAGCACCAGCTATCTGGAAATGAAGGGCAGCGACCCCTGAAAGACAGGAAGCCAGTGAGGTGAGTCCTGCAAGTGACCTGGTTTACTCTCTTGAAAGGGTTTCCAGGCTGTGGCCTGAGGAAGGAATCCAGACAGATCCTGGAAGATCCCTGGGGTGAAGAGAAGAAGCTGAGAGTCCAGAGAGACCACGGCAGAAAGATCCCCAGGGCAGAGTGCGGGAGAGCAGGAGGGCACAGAGTGTTCATGGGTATGTGCATATGTCCAGACTGATCCAAGTACGCATTTTAAAGATTCACTTTAGCATGTATAAATCATACCTAACTGGTTTGGTCAGTAGATAGAGCATTGGTCTGCTGACTGAAAGGTCCCAGGTTCGATTCTGGTCAAGGACATGTACCTCAGTTGCAGTCTCGATCCCAGGCCTGGTTGGGGCACATGTGGGAGGCAACCAATCTATGTGTCTCTCTCATATTCATGTTTCTGTCTCTCCCTCTTCATTCCTATCAGAAAATATTCAAGTTAAAGAAAATACTAAACCAAACAGAGAAGGGTATTTAAAATGATAAAGTATGCCATTCATAGTGAGGCTATAAGAATTTTGAAAATCCATGCACCAAATTCACAGCAGCAATATTTAAAAAAACAGAAATTAGATATGATATAAGAAGACATTAACTAAAATAAAATCATGGGATTAAAATTAAATTAATCAAGTGGATGAATAATAAATAAATGTAACATATATCTGAACAAGTATAAAAAATGTAATTGGTATATTTCAAATTCTATGTTTTTTCAAATGCCCATTTTATACTCATAAAAATGTATCAAAAAGTCCAAAGCTCAAAACTTCCAAAATGTGGAAATATTTATGGTAATATCTTCTTCTTACAAAGCCATAAAAATAGAAATTTATAATAATATTAAAAATAGCTTAGAGATTTATGTACTTCAGTTAATAACTTTTAATTTAGACAGAATTTTTTTTAAAATATATTTTATTGATTTTTTACAGAGAGGAAGGGAGAGAGATAGAGAGTTAGAAACATCAATGAGAGAGAAACATTGATCAACTGCCTCCTGCACATCTCCCACTGGGGATGTGCCCGCAACCCAGGTACATGCCCTTGACCGGAATCGAACCTGGGACCTTTCAGTCCGCAGGCCGACGCTCTATCCACTGAGCCAAACCGGTTTCGGCAAGACAGAATTTTTAAAATAGCATCAGTAAAAATATTATGTATTAAAGCCATGAGATCTTGAAAAGGCAGCTTCAGAGAAAAATCTATACTTGATACTTACATCAAGTAAAAAGTCCAGGAGCCACTGGAGCAAACATATGTCTAAAATTTGAAAACGAGTAGCCAACTACATTGTTGGAAAGCAGAAAGAATAAATTAATACAGAAAAAGTGAAAAAAATAACTTAGAAAATAGGAAAATTAGGACAAATAAATAAAAATTGTTAAAAGACTTGTTCTTATTAATACAATAGGTGAACCACTGGGTCACCGGATCATTGTAAAAGGGGGAGGATGTCTAGAAAAGGCAATTCCTAAAAGTTAGAAACACGAGGGTAGAACCAAGAAGCATTAAATTAAAAGAAATAAATGAAGCACCTTCTTCGCAAAGAAATTCTCTGAAAATCTGGATGAAATAGATAACTTGTGGGAAAATGCAACTTACCAAAGAAGAGCCTAAAAGATATAGGAAGCTAAAGAGATTGATTTGTATAGGAGAAATAGAGAAAGTAGTCAATGATGTACTCCCTTCCCCCATTTTTCTTAGGCTTCCTTTCACTAGGAAATTCTACAAACCCTTTAAATACTACTTAACCTGTCAGGTCTAGAATAAATTTTTTAAAAACCATCATGTTTTTTTTCTTTTTTAAGAAGTGAGAATTCACTGATATAAAATCAAACAAAGATTGCACAAAAGATGGTTAGTATTGATTCAAAAATCCTAAATAAAATATTAACAAACAGAATGGAGAAACACATTAGCAGGATAACACATCATGATCAAGTTTGGGTTTAATCCAATTCAAGGATGATTCAATATAATTTACTGTATTAGTATATATAAGAAGAAAACCCACATAATCATCACCATAGATACTGAAGAAGCATTTTACAAATTTCAACAGTTACTTTTTATTTTTAGAAAGCCAATGAAATAAGGATATTTGAATATTCCACATGTGTTAAATGCCTGTCTCAATAATATTTTTAATATTATTATAAATTTCTATTTTTATGGCTTTGTAAGAAGAAGATATTACCATATTTACAGTATGGTAAATGAAGAAATTCTAGTCCTGTGTTGACCAATATGATAATCACTATCCACAAAGTAGCTATTTACATTTAAATTAATTAAAACTAATAAAATTCCTCAGTCTTCAGAGCCACATTGCAACAGTCCAAGAGCCTCATGTGGCTAGACTTTGTATTAGAGGTAGTCTCACTAAAAAATGCTCACTCTCAACACCTACACTATACTAGATGTGTCAGTGCAAAAAGAGTAATAAATAATGTGAGATATAAATATTAGAAAGGAGAAAATAAAACAATCGCAATTGGCAGATAATATGGTCGTATACCAGGTAAAACGAACAGAATCAGCTAAAAGCCACCATAAATAAATAGATTATTCAGTAAGGAAGTGGCATACAAAAATAATATATAGAAATCAATAGTTGTTACATATATAAATCACAAATAGCTAGAATGGCCAGGATAACAGGAAAAAAAAATCCATTCACAACATTAATCAAATTATTAAATACCTAAGTGTAGACTCTATAAAAAACAATCAGCTAAATATGAAGAAAACTAACTAACTAAATAAATAAATATGAAGTAAACTTAAAAACACTCCTGAATATCACAAAGCAAACTTAAATAAGAAAGTATATTGCATTTTTGTGTAAGAAGCTGCAATCTCATAAATATAACAATTTTTATAAGCTCAATAAAAAGGCTAGACAAGTATTGGAGGGTGGCAACCTCTACCAGATAGTAACATATAACAAAGCATCAAAGATGTAAACAACTTGATATTAGTGCTTGAGTTGGTATAGTCTAATAGAACAGAAGGAGTCCAACAATTGCCTCATACTCTATGATGATTAAATTTATGATGAAAGTGACATCTCATATCTCTGGGAAAAAGATTAATCATTAAATGGTGTTGGGGAAAATGAGTAGTGTTCTAATTATTATTACTGCATAACAACCCCCCCCCCCCAAATTAATGGCTTCAAACTACATTTATAGTGCTCACAAATTCCGAGTGTTGGGATTTCTGGAAAGCCTCGGCTGGGCAGGTCTCACTGGGGCGGGGGGGGGGGGGATCCCCATAAAATTGCGATCAGATGTTAGCGGAGGCAGTAGTTATGTGAAGGCCTGATTGGGACTGGAGAATCATTTCACGGTGGCTCTATGACATCACTGGGCTGTTGGTAATGAACCTGTTTGCTGAGGTCTTTTAGTTCCTTCCACATAAAGGATCATGGGGGCTCATTTTCCTCAGAGTGAGCAATCCGGGAGGCCAAGGTGGAAGAGGCAATACTCTTAGTGCTCAGCCTCAGAAGGCACAGGCTGCCACTACCACAATATTCTCTTGGTCAAGGCAGTTACACAGGTCTACCAGTTTCACCTCTCTCTGAAGGAGTATCCATGTCACATTGTCAGAAGAAAATGTGGGATGGGATATATATTGGTATGACAATCTTTGGAAAACACAAAACACCATAGGTAGACATCTGGTTATGCAAATTTTAAATATTAAAATAAGTATCAAATGTATTCTAATATACAAAACGAATTCATAACTATAGGAAGAAAATACAGGAAAGAAAATCCCTTTGCAATCTGAGAATTAATGTAAATTTAATTGACATTCATTACAACTAATAAAATTAAAATTTTAATTCCTCAGTCTCAATGCCACATCTGAAGGGGCCGATAGCCACTATGGCTGAGATTCAGAAGGTGAGGAATGAGTGGAAGGGGGCTGAGTGGGCCAAGCAGGGGGAAGAGCATGTGCAAAGCTGCCAGGAATGGAAAGAATGCCAAAATGGCTGGAGCTCTGAGGTCAAGGGGAAGAGCGTGCAAAGTGGGGTGAGGAGGTAGAGTAAGCAGGATCACCAGGGCTCTGAGGAATTTGGAAGGATGCGATCAGATTTAGGTATTGGCAGGATGGCTTTGACAGCTGAACAGGGAAATGAATGGGAGGAAGTGAAGGAGGCAGGAGACCAGGCCAAAGGTGTAGAGTAGAAAGATGGTGCCAGGCCTGTAGCCCTCTGCAGCAACCCTCTCCCCAATGTCTGTGGGTCAAATCACCCTTTTCGAACTAGGTTCAGCTCCAGAGGGCGCTTCCAGAAAGCCTACAGCGAACTCAAGATTCTTAAACTGAGGCTGAGCACAAGGTCGGGAGGGAGTTTAAGGCCAAACGGAGGGGATGATCCAAAGCCCCCTGGCTATTTAGCTTGGAGACTCAGAAACCAGAAATCATCCTAGCTGCCCTCACTCTGAATGAGGGAGCTGCTAGCTCAGAGACCACACCATCGCTGGGGAAGCCCATGGAGTGGAGGCTGCAGGGGTCCGGGCTTTCCCAAGGAGTTAACAAGACTTATTTCTTTGGAGGAAGTGCAGACTCTTTCTCCACTTCTTTTTATAAAGGCATCAATCATTTGAGTCACTTGAGAATAAAGCTGTTTTCAGCGAGAAGATTTCTGTGGGCTCCTGAGTAGGAGTTGGGGCGGCTGCTGTGGGAACGGCAGAACATATGGTGGTCTGTTGTGAATGCGATCTGTTTTTTGTGTTGTTGTTAAACTGCCTCTCGTTAGCATTGGGCCTGTTATGTAAGAGCACGAGGGTCCATATGGTTTGTTGCATAAGAAGCCAAAGAGGAACATGGTTTTCTGTTGCCCTGCAGCTAGTCCAATTGTGAGTTTGGAAAAACATGTGACCACAGTGTGACACTTGGGCAATGTAGTCAAGTCGTCCTGGATTTGAATATCAGTTCTACCAGGGGTTAGCTGTGTGACCTTGAGC